TGGATATTTTAGAAGTTATAAGAATTGTATAAAAACTGTATTTTTCTGCCTGTGATAATTACATCAGCCCATTGTGTACATTAATTATATAACAGGCAGAGGGGAGGATTTTTGTGTGAATGAATGGGAGTGTTTAACTGTATCATACGTGTAACGGACCGTTTCAGCACACAAGGGGTTAAAACCGTTTAGGCGATTTTCCCCTTCCAGAGATGCAGGCACAGCTACTATAGAACACCAAACTCCCGAACCGCAATTAAGGGAATGCTCCAATCTCCCAAACTGCATACAATATAGCACTCCAAACTCCCGAACTGGATCCATACGAATAGCTGCTAGCAGACGAATAGGAAAAGCACCCAAGCGGCTTACACTCCTAGCAATCAGTCTCTATCAGCATTCAATAAATCCCCCCAAAAACGAGACAAGGCTCCGTGTTGAGGCTCAAGCAGTGGTCTGTTTAATGAGGGCTACCTGCCCAGTATTTATGCAGGTCTCCCACCTGGTGGACACTCCCCTAGGGGACCAAATGGGAAACTGTGACAAAGGACAGACAATCAGCAATCTAGGACACACAGTCACATTATATTCCCTCAATGCATCCTGGCTTCCTCCCCTCTGCCCTGGAGATAATTGAGAAGTAATTCAATTATCTCCCAGGACAAAGGCAAATCGCCATTATGCACGTGGGGATACTAATATAGAAATTACTGTTAAAATCCCCCATGTTGGAACGGTTACAGTAAAGATATACATTTAACATATCCCCAGATAGCTCATGTCTGAGCGCACATTATTAAGCGAATGGCGCTCAGACTACACGAATACAGTTCAATCGCCATGGAGCAAAAGTGTTCACAAAGTCAGTTCTCATATGAATGAGCTCCATGGGATTCCTATCTGGGGTATGGTGTAGTCAGGTACAACTACCAAATATAGAGCCGTTCGTGCACTTCTACCGAACAAGAAGGGAGGTCGGTAGCTTCAGCAGTGTTCGCACCAAACTGTATCCGTTTTCAGTTCCATGGATTAGGCGTCGAACACTGCTGTGCCTTCGCGTGGTTTAAAATGGCCATGACCTCGTGTTCGGCATACGAATGGCAGCCACCCAACTACTGTATCAATCAAGAGGTGTCTGCGGTTAACCTCAACGTTGGGGCCAAGAGGTTAATCAGCAGTTAATCACTTCCTGGTGATGTGGTGGGTATAGACTCACAGAGTCACCCACATAAAAGCATAAAAAGTGAGGTATAGACTCGCAGAGGAAGTGATTTACACTCTACATCACTTTTTATGCTTTTATGTGGGTGACTCTGCAAGTCTATACCCACCACATCACCAGGAAGTGATTAACTGCTGATTAACCTCTTGGCCCCAACGTTGAGGTTAACCGCAGACACCTCTTGATTGATACAGTAGTTGGGTGGCCACCATTCGTATGCCGAACACGAGGTCACGGCCATTTTAAACCATGCGAAGGCACAGCGGTGTTCGACGCCTAATCCATGGAACTGAAAACGGATACAGTTTGGTGCGAACACCGCTGAAGCTGCCGACCTCCCTTCTTGTTCGGTAGAAGTGCACGAACGGCCCTATATTCGGTAGTTGTACCTGACTACACGATGGGGCCAAGAGGTTAATCAGCAGCACACTTCTCTACTGGGTGGCCGGCCATTCGGTAGTTTTGTTCGGTCCTTAAAAGGGAACGCCATAGAGTCCACGGAAAAGAGGAAAACAAATTAAACAAATGAACGAGCCATACGGTAAGACAGAGGGATCTGTCACAGAATCTACCGAACACTGGGCAGAAACGGCACGAATAAGCCTTTTCTGTGGGGAAAAAGATGTCTTTTAACATGGGGCCATAATCCAAAGGCAACAGGCGAGCAACCAGGCTTCTCCAATGCAATGTGGCGAGATTGCTCTCATCACATCTCTCCCCTTTTCCAAACAGACTAACAGGGTATCTGACCTCCTGCCGGTCAGTGCCCTTGTTAGTCAAGCAGCCCACCCACAAAACACAACCAGCAGTACAGCCCACCCACAATAAATGGTTACTACACCTGGGTAGAGGAGAAGCTTGTCCATGTCCAGGTGTCTCACCACAGCTGTGCGGGGGACTGGCAGGCTGCTTTGGTGGGTTGCTGAGTGGGCAGAGACCAGCGGTACTCTGCCCTGGTGCCAGCGCTACCATGGGAGTAGCCTGGTTGGAGCCTGCTTGGTGGAGGGGGAGACCGACTGTCTCCCCTTTGGATACACAGCTCTGCTGCCGGAGGGGGAGACCGACTGTCTCCCCTTTGGCTAAACAGCCCTGTTGCTGGGGGGCAGAACCGACCGTCCCTACCCCCTGTGTTGTAATTGCAGAGACCACGGTCCCATCTGCATGGTTGCTGGGCTTACTGTCTCCCCCTGGTACCTTAAGCTGCTGCTGGGGAGAGGAGGTAACAAGCTCCTCTCCCATACATACTTCCAGCCGCGGGGGAGGGAGACCGACTGTCTCCGCTCCCAATACAGAGTGCTGCTGCTGGGGAAAGGAGACTGGGCTCTCTATTCCCTGTAAAACACTCTCCCGCTGGGGAATGGAGACTGGGCTCCCAATTCCCTGCAATTCACTCTGCTGCTGGGGGACAGGACCAACTATCTCTGCCCCCTGTAACTCAGCCTGCCGCTGGGGAATGGAGACTGGGCTCCCAATTCCCAATAAATTACACTGCCGCTGGGGAATGGAGACTGGGCTCCCAATTCCCTGCAGTTCACACTGCCGCTGGGGAATGGAGACTGGGCTCCCAATTCCCTGTAGCTCACACTGCCGCTGGGGAATGGAGACTGGGCTCCCAATTCCCTGCTGTACCTGCTGTGGAGTTCCTCCCAACGTGCCAGCTGACCTTCTCTTTCTGCCCGGTATTGCAGATTCATGAACACTCGGTCCCTCATGGACTGCACGTATTTCTCAGCTGGATTGGGTCCGAAGAACTTCAGCCGCAATTCCATCATATTGTCAAACTCATTCATAGAGTAGCTGTACGCCCCTGCTGGTTCCATCCTGGTGCTCTCAGGGTCGCTGTACTGGGACATGCGTTGCCCTTAACTTGTAAATCCAAAGAAATGGTGTCTCCTGTAGCTGTCCTTCTGGCTGTGGGAATGATCCCACCGCTGCCACCAATTGTAACGGACCGTTTCAGCACAC